ATTATAAGTAAACAAGGAAGTCAGGCAACTGTAGCACCTGCCTTTAATCCTAACAATTGGCAGGCTGGCATCTGTCTGGATCTCTGTGTGTTCAAGGCCACACTGGAAACAGAGCCAGGTGTGGTGGCACTTGCCTTAAATTCCAACACTAGTTAACCATGGATCTCTGTACAGACAGATAGGAATTGAGAGAGCTGGGTATTAAAGAGGAAGTGATGTAACTGGACAGTGAGAGCAAATTAGATGGCAGAACAGCAAGGCATATAGGTGTGGGTGGACAGTAATTATCTGGCATTGGATGCTGCAGAGTTGGTGAGGTGATGTTAGCTTGTGGCTGTCCTATTCCTCTGATCTCTCTCAGACTTTAGTCCCTATGTCTGGCTCCATGACTTTTATTTAATGAGGCCATTAGAAGGTCATCTACAATTGGTGACCAGTGATTGTGGCAAGAATTCACTGAAAAGCTGCTTGTTACAGGCCCCCTTTCTCAGGTCTGAGCTGCAAGGCTCAGGCCAAGCTGTACATGGCCAGAGTTTCTTTGGTTTCTTCTCTTGTGGTAGGTGGTGGGCTCTCTCTGGATTCCCATCTCAGACTGCTCCCACACTAGTTAGCTGATTTGAAATTCCCTCAGATTTCTACTGTTCTACACAGTCAACTGACTTGGTAAGTTAATTCAGATGTCTTAAAGCATGAAATTAGTTTAAAGAGAATTTTTTCCCCCATATTCAAAAATGAGAAACATTTTTACTATGGAAGGAATTGGCTCTCTGTTTGATAATACATTAGGCTATCTGAAAGCAGAACAATTAAATGAGAGGAAAATTAATATGGATGAGATGTACATAGCATCAATTATAAATATTATGTGTTTGATCATTTTTGTTTTAGCATTAAAATGGTTAGTCAGTTTAAGTGCCAACCTAAAAGCTTTAGAAAAATCTGTTTAAATGAATCACAGAGAAATTCAGATGCAGACCAAAGCATTTAAAGGTGGACATTTTTCAGGATTGACTTTAGAAAAACCTGTTAAAATGTATTATAGAGAGATTCAGACCTGGACAGAAGGTGAAGGTGAAATTATCTCAGGATTGAATTATATGGTTACAGAGATACAGCCTCAGGTTTCCAGACAGCTAATTTTAATCTACCCAAAAATCTTAGAGGAACTGCCAAATGCTCACAGTGTGAACAAGCTAACTGGACTCCAGTGGAAATGTTAGATTTAAGGAGATATAAAGAAGGTATAGTATCATATGGCATGCATTCTTGATTTGTAAAGCAGATGTTAAACTCGTGGTCAACTTGTAATAGAATTATCCCTCAGGCCTAAAAAGAGTTAATTATAGGTGTCCTAGAGGCCAATTCACAGTTATAGTGGGGAACATGGTTTAAAGAGGAGGCAAATCGATAAACTAATGATATAGAACTAGAGGTGTGGAAATTTCCCAGGATCAGCTTCTTGGAGAAGGCAATTATGCTGATCCACAAAATCAATATTTATAGGATAACCAAACCTTAATTCTATGCTGCATGGCAGACATGAATGCATGGAACAGAATTGAGGCAGAAAAAAAAATTGAATCATTTCTGAAAGTT